TAATTACTTACATTAAATATTTCTTTAGTTATCACTTCCTATTCAACAAAAAATCTGACATTTAAAAAACACACAACTTGAATTTCCTTCTTCTCTGCTGAAAATTAACCCATTGTTTATATGAACTTTTTTGTAGCTCTTGAAGTCTGCTATCACTCCTATAAAAATTTCCTTCTACTTATGGGACACCCTGTATATCTGAGCTGACTTTATGTGGCGCTACATTTTCATATAACCTTCATTGTTACCTGGTGACATTCTTCATCAGACCATGGTGAACTGTTGGGCTTCTTTTTATAACCTAAGATTCTCTCAGCTGCTGCATTGAGAGCTTCAGTATATTTTTTCATTATTCTTCATTCAAATGAATTCATCCTTTTAACTAATTCTTTGAGGCTGTTCTGATATGCTGTACCAACTTCTGTCTCCTTTCGCTTATCAATGTTGTAGCTTCTTACAGAGTGAATTTTAGAGGTTTTTGAGTAGTTTTGTTTTCAATAATTAATATTAATTATTTAATCATTAAAGGCTGTGGCAGTGATGGTGTCCAAGCGTGTTAAAGTGTTACCCACTTTATCATTCTCGAATCTAGCAACGCCAGTTCAAATCCCTTCCTTCCCTCTGTATGCCAAAAATGATGAGGTAGGAGGTAACAAAAGAACATTAATTCTTTAATCTTCTTGTTTTATAATTTACTAGTATACCTCAGTGAGATCTTACATTAGATAGTTCATGCATTGGATATAGCGACATCATTGAAACATGTTTATTCATATGTAATATATGATATCATGAAGATAGGCTATTGGCTGTTCAACTCACAAAATTTAGAGTATTAGTTTACTGAAAATTTATTAGCTTGTCTCATTGGAAAATATCCCTCAAGTTTAATAGTTAAGCAATACAGCCAGCAATGAACTTATACTAATCCATTATTTTATAATAAATAATAATAATAATAAGGCTTAGCGAACCCGAAGGTTCGATGCCGACACCACCAATCGCTTGTTACACACCTCCCTCCACCGTTCGCCGTCCAAACCCAGTCCCTTCAGATCAGCTTTAATGCAATCTTCCCACCTTCGCTTCGGTCTACCCCTCGGACGCTTACCATTCGGCACAGCAAATATTAACCTTTTAGGAATCCTCTCGTTACTAAGCCCAACAACTTTACAAGCCCATTTGATTCGCCGCGATGAAATTACCTCAATTATATTACCCGGATACAGCTCACGCAATTCGGCGTTGTGTAACCGTCTGAACTCTCCGGTTAACTCATCCTTCTTCGGTCCGAATATTCTACGCAATACTTTATTTTCAAAAACCTTAAGACGCTGCTCATCCCTTAATGTAAGCGGCCAAGTTTCGCATCCATAAAGAACGGTAGGCAAGATAATTGTTTTATAGATTCTAATTTTTAAGCTTCGGGACAAGAGGCGCGAACTAAGTAGTTTTATCACAGAAAAATAACAAGCATTCCCCGCCTTCAGTCTAACCTTAATCTCTTCTTCAATTTCGTTTTTTCTAGTTATCGTAGAACCTAGATACCTAAATTTATCTACCTGTTCAAACATATTACCATCTATATAGATATCACCAGTAGTATCGCCATTTTTGCAGCTAACCATATATTTTGTTTTATCCACGTTTATTTCGAGTCCTAGTTCTTTACCGGCTTTCATTAACGTTGTCGTATTTAGTTTTATAGTTTCAACATCTTCGCTTAACAGTACCAGATCATCAGCATAGCCCAGCACGGATGTTGTCCCGCCCAGATCCAACCCTTTCTCGGTTCGCATTACCTCCCTAATGGCATGTTCTAATGCCAATTTGAACAGGACAGGCGAAAGAGAATCCCCCTGTTTTAAGCCCGAACGAACCTCAAATTTTTCGGACAAATTATTACCGATTCTAATTTTATTGAGTGTCTCCGTCAAGCACATCCTGACTAGATTTACTAGTTTTTTTGGAATCCCCTGCTCGATTAGAATATTATAGTTTCTGGCGGTCAATAGAATCGTAAGCCTTTTTAAAATCTATATACAGCTGGTGAACAATACTGTTGTACTCCAATTTTTTCTCTAATATTTGCCGTAAAGAAAATATTTGATCAATAGTCGAACGATTCCGTCTAAATCCGCATTGGTAGTCTCCGATAATTTCCTCGGCGTATTCCGTGATTCGACTGGTTAAGATTAAAGTGAATATTTTATAACATACCGGAAGGAGTGAAATTCCTCGATAGTTATTACAATCCGTCCTCCGACCCTTTTTGTGAATCGGAATAAGAATAGATTCTTTCCATTCTTCAGGTAATTTCTCGTTCACCCAGATCTTTTTAACCAACCGATGTATTTTAGAAACTCCAGCTTCTCCGCATGCCTTAATTAGTTCAGTAGGAATATTATCGATTCCTGCTGCTTTATATGATTTTAATTTTCCGATAGCTACTTCAACTTCCTCTTTACTTGGTCCTTCTATTAACGGTTCAGCACTCTGGTACTCAGAAGGAGGATACAGATCATAATTTCCCGTATTTAAAATATTGTCAAAGTGGTCCTTAAACTTATTCAATATGTCAACCGGATCGGTCAGAATATTGTTATTATCATCCCTAATTCCAGACGTTACGGGCCCTACATATTTACGTGATCTGTTTATACCTTTGTACATGTCTCTTACGTTATTTTCGATTCTATTAGTTTCTATTTCAATTATTTTATTTTTAAGATACTCTCTTTTTTTATTTTTGAGCAATTTTGTTGTTTCGTTCTTTGAGATTCGGAAGTATTCCAGATTGTCTTCGCTAGGATTATTTAGGGCTTTTAATTTAGCGGCTTTTCTTTTTTCACACATGTTTAAGCAATCTTCATCAAACCACGATTTGTTATTCTTATTTTCCTTTTTTCCTAGACACGAGTTACCGACCGCTTTAATATTATCCCTGATCTCTACCCATAACTTATCAATATCCTTGTGGTCCTCGTCAGGAAGCTCTAAAGCTTCAAACCTATTCTTAACATCTAGCTCGAATTGGTTTCTAATTGATGGATTTTTTAATTTTTCCAAATTAAAATTATCAAAATCGAAACGGTTTTCTTTTCTCTTTTTTATATTAAGTTTTTGTCGAAGTTTCGCGATTACTAATTCATGATCCGACCCACATTCTGCTCCGCGATAAGACCGTACATTGATTATACTGCTTTGCCAGCTGTGTTGTATCAAGACATGATCGATTTGATTTCGTGTTTGCGAATCCGGTGATGTCCAAGTATATTTATGAATATCCTTATGTTTAAACGTCGTACTTTTAATTATCAGGTTTTTCGAGATGGCAAAGTTTATCAGACGGATCCCATTATCATTACTATATTCGTGCAAACTTTCTTTACCAATCGTCGGAATATAAACTTCTTCCCTTCCTACCTTTGCGTTCGCGTCACCTACAATCATTTTCATGTAGTTTCGCGGTAGTTTATCATAAACCCATTCGAGTTTATCGTAAAATTCACTTTTGACTTCATCATCACTGTCTTCGGTCGGACAATGTATGTTTATTAATGCGATTTTAAACCAACGTCCCTGAAATGTAGCTACCGAAATTCTATCACTAAAGAATTCTACGTCCCTCAAAGCGGATAGTAATCTACTTCTAATTAGAAATCCGGTACCTAAACAATGATTCCCGCTTCCTCCGTACCAAATAGTGTACTTTCCTTCCCTCATCGAGCCCTCCCCTGGCCAGCGAACCTCTTGCAGAGCCACGACATCCAAATTGTACCCATTTACCTCATTCGCGACCGATTTTAGTCCCCCTGCTGTGTTTAAACTCCTTACGTTCCACGTACCAATATTTAAATCCCTATATTTCAACTTGCGCCATGAATCCCCTAAAGCAGTCCTCACCCGGAGACCCGAACGGGGGACTAGTTTACCTCCGGATAATGAGCGTTTTACCTTAGGGAGATCCATGACTTTTTGTGGTGTTTGGTGAACTAAAGATATGTGAGTAGGGCGTTCAATCCTACGTCACACCCTCCAGCAAGTCTGGTGGGCCCCTCCCTCCAGCAAGTTTGGAGGGTCCCTCTCATTGTTGGTCAGCGAGTCCATCGGACTTAGCCGGGAGGAACTTCCAAGGAATTTCCACCGACCATCCCCACATCCGCCACCCGTGGGACGCTCCCCATACGCGGTAATGAGCCCGCGCGAGGAATCCATTATTTTACACTCTCAAAACCTGTATGCTTGGCACAGAAGAGCCTTGCATGTTTGTGATTCTCTCATTAAGAGTCTATTACTGAGAGTATAGAACCCATACATGGATATTATTTATTTATCGGAATGTTTCTTTCTATATTATTTGAAGTGTCGAAGGGATCATAGAGCAATTCATCTCCATCTACCTTTTCAACAGATTTTTAGTTTGTCGATGACTAACAGTAAAAGCAATATTTTATTTTTTAAAGCCTAAAGTAACCCATGGCAACCATAAAAACATTCGGCTAGACTTAGAATTTATCTCAAAAACTGGACATTTTTGGGCTTTAAAAACAGGGCCACGTATTTTTATTGGAGCTGTACTCTGTCTTGATGACCGTGTTGAAATCTTTAAAACATAATTTATCCCTTATCAATTAATATAACTTGGAAACCATCTCAGTTTTGAAACCTCACAATTTTTTCAATGACTTATTTAAATTGTGATCAGGAATTTAAGAATCAAAATTGGGATTCATATCTTATCCGTATAATGTCCTTTTCTTCGATATGACATTCAACAAAATCCATCGCTCATGAGATCCGGGAAAGGGATCTATACTACTTTATTATATTAGTCTAGATTATTTTATCATCAGGAAATTATTTATAAATAATTTTATTTTGACAGATATTTTCTTTAAACTCTTAGTATTTCAGTAAAATATTTATTAGATCCTTTCAAAATCCTGATGTTTTCTTATGATAATATTTTAACTTAGTTGTTACCATTTGTTTTCCAGATCATTCTATCCTTTTATTTCACTTTTAACATGTAATGATGCTCCTCAAGTTCAGTTGTGGGCTGTTTGGGCTATTCATCATGTTTGTACCAAAAACCGTAAGCATTTTTGTTTAACAGATCATTCTTGAAATTCATTTAAAAACTATCTGTATCTATCTATATATATATTTCTTTTTACATTTTTTTCTTCTTTTCACTTAGCTCAACGCTATTGTCCTATGCTGGAAGCTGAAGAAGGAAGTATTATTCTTGATTCAATGTGGAGAAATCCAAATATTAATGCCACTGTTCGTGAAATATGCGGACAAATCAGACATTTACTTAGGTATTTTTTTTTCCCATAAGTTTTATGTATTCAGTAATTTTAATCAATTACATTTGGTATATTTTGAATATATTTTTTATTTTAGCATACATGGTACTATGGGACATAATCAAATCATGTTAAATCCAATTCCAAGGTGACCAGCTGTTTTATAACTCTTACAGATTTCTGCATCTGCGATATTAGGATTATATGATGGTCTTTGCTTCCAAAATGAACAAAAACCAAATTATTAAGCATAGTTTAATTAAATTCTATGTTTATATCATACTTAGCTTATGGCACCAAGAAAATGTATAATTTGTAAATAACAAAATACTCGGTTCCGAAAACGTTTATTACTTCTGTAACGGTCAAATAATGAACAATTGTTTTTTAATTACATCCTATACGACCCTAGTTAATTTATTAATTTTTAAAGGCAAGTACTTATGCCTTATATTGAATAATTAAAATGTATTTATGATCTAGTCCTCAACCTTTGTAATAATGACATTTGTATATTTTATTATTATATTTCCTTGTGCGTTTAAATAACTATAACATATGTACAATATGTTTCTTTATTTACACTTTTTCCACTGAAATTAAGGAAATATTGAGAAGTGTTTTTCATTGTTTGGTTAATTATTGTATTGTTTTCAAAAAATGTTTATAGTTGTATAATTTATGTATTTGTCTGATATTTACTGAGAGTAGAATATGTGATAAATTCATGAGTAGATTACAAAATAATAAACTTTTAACTTTTTTACTTTACTTGATTGAAAGAATATTTTATTTTAAAAAACAAGTCTTTTATCCTTTTGATATAACGTTCTTTTTCACCTATAACACTGTTTACATTTGGTGAAGTGCTAATTAAAGCTTATTGTATAATATCTCTTTTAGTATGAATTGTCAGCATCCTTCAAGTAAATACTGAAATGCTGCTGTGAAAATTCTTAAATGTACCTAACGTAAATGCATTCAAAATATATTACCAAATAGTAAACAATTTTAAGAATCTGATTACAGCTAAGTTCTATGGTAATGACAAACATAAATGTATGAGCCTGTTTCTTTTTCATCTTTCACTTTTGATATCTAAAAAAAATTAAACAGTTGAAAAATTTGTTTAGGATTTCAATTGGATTACCAATTATCTGCAAATATTTGTTTATTGAAGTTTTCCTATTTTAACTTATTTCCTACCTACATGGTAGATGTAGATGAAATCCAAAGATGGCTTTTCTTTTCAATTATAAAAGTTTTTCTTTTGAAAGTAAATCAACCCCCTTTCCTTTTGCAATTGTGTCATCAACTCCCATTTATCGAAAAGTAATCAATACAGGTTTGTAAGGAAAAATTTTCATGTTAATTTGAATATATAAAATTTAACTTTTAACAATTTGAAGTTTGCTGCAAAAATCCTACTAAGTAATAATATTTTTCATTTAAAATGGTTATAAAAATGTGTTTTTCTCCCAGAATTCTGTCATAGGAACTGATTCATATTTATAAGTGACAAATGTAATGTTTCTAGCACTAATATTTACATTTCATGAAAATAATTTAAGCAATCAGTAAGTTTCTTTATTTTAACGTAAATTTCAGGAAGAAACATTAAGTTTGTCACTGATAAAATATTTATCAAATTCTATGACAGAGATCTGGAAGAAAAACAAAATTTCATAACCACATTGCATGAAAAATCATCATTTTTAAATTTATTATTTTCATAAATAAAAGGTGTTTTTAGGCAATTATATTTATTACAATACATCCAATATCACAAGAAATGAAAGCTTTGTAACAGTTAATTGTAGTGATTTTTGTTGAAAGTGTGGGTACTTGAAGGTGATTGGATAGGAAAATCACATCACTTCTTTACACATGAAGTGAATCTAAAACATTTTCCTAATAAACATCAACTTAATTAATATGGACTTAAAGCTTACTAAATGAGGAAGTTTTTCTAAAAGTGGGCTTAAGGTAGTACAATTAAAGTATAATAAAAAAAGATCGCATATAATTTATGAATATCTTTTAGACGGAATTTAGCTGTATTTGTCCACCTAATAGACCTCTTTAAATAGTCTTAACAATGACAAATTCTACTTTCTTTTTAAGCAAATTTTGTCTAGTTCACAATATATATATATATATATATATATATATACGGGAGATAGTGTGGTGTTTTAAAAATGGTAAGGCCCCAGGTTTGTACTTTATTTTGGTGGAAATAAAAGTTGGCTGGGATGTTATTAGTAAGCTGCTTATAATATTATATCAATTATGTATTAAATATTTTTCCCTGAATGTTGAAAGAGGGGTAGGATACAAATGCTCTCCTTTGGACCCTGCTGTTGTTAAATCGTACAAAGTGATTTGTTTGATAACAGTACTTGGGAAGGTTTTCAAGAAGCTTATTGTGAATAAGCTTGATTATATGTTCTATGATCATATCTATTTTATACAATATGGATTTATAAGAGGTAAAAGCACTTTCAATGCGATGTAAGAGATAGAACATATTAAGGAAACCTGTTCTGACAAATATCTTGTCGGCATCTTTCTCGATGTCTATGGAGCACTCGATAGAATCTGGGTGGCCAGATGTCCTTTAATGTATGCCTAAATACAGTAATCTAAAAGGAAGCCTGAATTGGTGAGTGATTATTTAAGTGATTGTAGTGTGGAGTTAAGAATAAGCATGGGTATAGTGAAAAAGAGATTCAACAGAGGTTGTCCTCAAGGGTCTGTTCTTGGTCCTTAGTAACGGAAACTCATTTCTGATGACTGTGTGAGAACAGTCAATATGGGAGCGAATCATATGGTAGCCTTTGCTGACGATGGAGTGGTATTAGTGAGTGGAAATACTCAACATGAGTTAGAAAGGAAACTGGAGGAGGGAGTGTTGAATGTAATTAACGATTGGATAGTAAGGAGCAAAATATTACTATCGCCTGAGAAAACAGTCTGTATGATGTCCTTGACCACCATCTGTGAGCTTTAATGGCCATATTATATGATTTGTTTCTGAAATCCGTTATTTTGGAATCTGTTGGGAGGAATACTGGAGAATTAGGAAGCTCTATGTCACTAAAGTAACAAAGCATGTACTGCTATGAGCAATGTAATCAAATATACAAAAATGAACCTCAAAGGGAGGATACCGCTCTTAACGGTGTATAATGCTATATTTTGTTCAGTTGTTGGTTATGCAGCTGGAGTATGGAAACAGTCTAACAAGATACAGCTACATGAAGTTACAGAGTTGTAAGGGGAAGATATTATTACGCAGTGTACGGAATTGTTTCTACTGACGCATTAATGGTATTGGGTAGAGAATCTAGAGGCAATGGACAATGTATGTATAGCAAAGCAAAGAGAAATAATGATTGTGGGTGTTAGAGAAAGAAAGAGTTGCAGGAAGTATGTTTAACAGAATCGCAAAGGAGGTAGGATGAGTGCGAATACTACAGATGAAATGGTTAAATCTTAATCATTAATTGGTTGAAGGCTTGAGAGGTCATGGATTAAGAGTTCATGACTAACCTGTTCAAGTTTGGCTTGGTCAAAAATGACCTGTAAGCCAAAATGAAGTTGAGGAAGTATAACATGTCCAATGGGACTGTGAAAGTTTTAGTGCACAAAGACAGGTGTTATGGGAGAAAATGAAGGAAGTAAAAGATGAATGATCGATGAGAGGTTACTTCAGAGAATATAAATTTCCTGTTGTCATTCATGGGTTGGAAGATGTGGAGAGGTTTTGGGTGATGAATAAGGAAGTGAAGTGTGGATTGTATTGAGTTGTACAGTTCTATTATTACCAGAAATATTCCCCTTGAATATTAGTATGGAAGCTCCATTACATTGATCTCTGGGTAGAACTGAGACAGGGCCCCCCTGGCCAGCTACCCTTTCAGACTTTAAAAAATTCCCCTATTGCAATATGGGAAATCAACATGAAGCCTGCCTGGATGTCACAATTATGGTGGTGAGAGAATCTCCCAAGGGAAGCCTGTTGTCATTGGTCATTGTGTTAATAAGGCCAATTGAAGAGGATCTGTCAAAGATCGATACTCCTTTTAGAATCATGGTGGATAGTAGTTATCCTCTCCTTTTATGTTGAGAAGGTGAGCCAGTTAAGAAGAGAGGTAGGTTAAGGTTTTTTGGTCAGTGCACACCTTTCTTCCTTCCTGTCTTGCTTCCATCATTTACACTGTTTTATCATTATCTGGTTCCCAATTTTCAGAATATTTCTTTATTTACTATCGATCTCAAAATCTTAACAGTACTACTTCATGGAAAAGTGAAAACCTTTAGATTAGATAACACTATAAAAGCTGATGATGTCATAACAGTGTACTGAATTGTTTCTACTGACACATTAATGGTATTGGGTAAAGAATCTAGAGGCGATGGACAATATGTATAGCAAAGCAAAGAGAAATAATGATTGTGGGTGTTAGAGAAAGAAAGAGTTGCATGAAGTATGTTTAACAGAATCGCATATTATGTCATATTATATAATATATTATATTATATTATTATATATATAACATAGTATGTCATATTATGTTAAATCAGTATTAGAAAAGTTTGGTACAAAACTAATAAAAGGTAGCATAATAATAAGCCATCATAAACAAAACATTTTTTATCTCCAAAATATAAATAAAACAGTACAAATATACTACAGATCAACTCTACATCAATATTTACAATATAAATAGTCATTTTAAATTTAAATGATATTTGGTTTCAGTGGATGTACAAATGAATAAGCATTCCTATTTAAGATGTGAGAAGCTATATCAAAGGAACAAATATCATTTAATTTCTTCTCTTCATATACAATATCATTAATTTCCTTCTTAATTTTTATGAAACTATTATAACAAGTAATTTTGGCTATAGTAATTTCTTGATCACAGAACTGAACTCCAGTGCAATAAGATTTTGAAGCTCTAGATAAGACTGCTACCATTGCGTAAATATTACTAGCAACATCAGCAATCCTCTTTAATTCAAGGTGCCTCCTCACTATATCAGAACCATGGCGATTCAAAACTGTTTCAATTACATATTGAAAGCGCAAAATACAATATTCTAATTGTTCCGCTGCTCCTTTTAAGTTGGGATGCAAATTCATATAGAGCTTAAGGTCCAGTTTTGGATCATCTTTTAATTGTCTTGTTTGGTTAAAAATTCTTTTAAGTGCATAACTTGGAAAATTAAAGGGATTTCTGTTTTTTATTATAGCATCTCTAAGACTATTGCCTGCATGTTCAATTCCTATTATTGCAGTGTAAATTTTAATTATATCAATGCTTTTACTATATAGAGAAAAACCTTTTAAATCCCGCCATAATTTTTCAAAAGGAAAAGAAGTATCATAAGCTCTTGATCCTAATAATTCCATACATAGAGAAATTGCATCTAATCCGTTCTCAAACCCATATAGTTGTAGAATAGCTGACTCCAAAGTATCATCAATAGTATAATTATCTATAATACCACTAGTCAGGTAAAGCATACTTTCCAATGCATAAGCGGTACTACTGACTTTAGCTAATTTATTTTTTACAGATTCAGAGTCTTTTAAATCAATTGGGAACTGTTTGCATTCATGGACATACAATATGGCTGAAGATAAAAAATATTTCAAATTGTTTAAAATAGAAATAAGTAATATATACTTGTGGCACCTAAAGCTCTCACTAGCGATTTGGAATCCACCTCCTAACTTCCCCAACAAATTAGATTTAGGAACAGTCACATTATTGAATTTCAAAGAACAGATGCCACATTCATTAAGTCCAAACAGATTATTTTTTTTTAAATCTATATCACTACACTTATCAACTAAAAAAACTGACATTTCTTTGGTCATCGAAGTTCTATTGTCAACCACATTATTAGCAAACACTAGAAAGAAATCAGCATGTTCAGCATTGGTAACCCAGGTTTTTTCACCGTTTATTTTAAAACAATCCTCTTCTTGTTTGGAAACTGTTGTAATAGATGTGGGATCAGAACCACCAACTAATTCACTTATAGCATAAGCTCCAGTTGATTCTCCTGACAATATTTTCGGTAAATACTTTTGTTTTATTTCATCAGAACCATAACTAAGAATAGTCTGTAAAACAAATGATCTCTGACTTTCAAATAAGATTGATAAGGAGGGGTCTAGTTGTAATTCTTCATATAAATTAAGAAGTTCACTAAATGACATTTCAATTCCTCCATATTTTTCTGGTAATTTGCTTTTCAGAAGACCATTTTTTGTGAGTATTTTAAATTTATCAAGGGTGCCCAAGTCTTTCCCTTCCAAAGAATTTATTAAGTCAAACCTTAGTTTTTTTACATGCTCTGCTGGTTCTCTGCTTTTTGGATTAGGGTACTGAAAGAAAATATCATCCACTATTCCTAAAAATACATTCTTCATAAAAGGTGCTCTTCTAGGTTTTTCTTCTTTTATGGGTTTAATTTCAGGAGCTGTGTCAAATTTCTGGATAGTGGATTGGCTGACTGAAAAAATAATTTTAACATTCTTGCAGGAATTTGTTAACAACTTCGTCTTAGAAGACAGCATTTTGACAAATTGCTATCTATCAACAAATATATGGGCTCCTTATACGAATTAATTATTTCTTTTAGAAACTAAGTTAAATAATTGTACTTGAGTTACATTTAAAATGTACTAATATGTATATAATTAATTTTAAAAATGTCAGATTTCTTTTCATATATATATCAATCCACCTTCAACACAAAAGTAATACTGTTAAACCATTCTTAACATTTACATTTTCACATGATTCAAAACATTGTTCATACTTCGAGAACGTTCCTGAATGCCTGATCACAATCCACTACACCATAGTTTCTTGTATTGAGCTCTGATGTCTCTTAGCCCTGGAGCCCAAAAATCGACCTCATGGCAGGCAAAGATTTAATTGTAAATTACTAAACTGTATGTTATTCTGAGTAAAAAGAACCTTGTTTGCTATTAGATATGTACAATTGGAATACAATAAAAATATCAATACTCAATGGACACAAAATTGTATGTTCTACAACTTTGATTCTATGGATTTTTTTTCTGAAGGGATTCATTTCCAAGAGCATTTATAGTAATTTGTCTTAGTTTTTGAAAAATTTAGTAAACATCAGCGTTGGTTGCCGTGGTTTTATACCTTACACGGAACCAAATTATAAAGTTTTTATACTCGTTCGGTGCACATTTTAACGTTCTTCAATTTATTATAGAGTACATTTTTCGCTTCTATGCAGCGTTTAGGAGTTATAGGTAAAAAATATCGAAGAAATCTGACTTTTTTGGCTGTAAAAAGATTTCCCTGGTGGCCCGCGTTAGCAATTTTGTTTTTTAAACGTCTAAACTTATATTTATATTTACAAGTTAAAAAAAATTTAAAACTTTTCTCACATTTTTCGCAAAGGATTTCCCGTTTCGATCTTCAAATTACTGGACTTATATTCTTTGAATCAGTCGCCATTTTTTTAAGTAGCGGCTCTGGAAAGGCAGATAAGGTTCTTTTTACTCAGAACAACATAAAATTCCGTAATTTACGATCAAACCTTCGCCTGCGATCAGGTCGATTTTAGGATCCTAGCTCCAGGGCTATTTTGTCTATCAGTAGATGATCAATTAGTTTTGCTTTTTCTGCACCTTTTAGTTTACCTAGATATATTCGCGAATATTCTTATACAGGAATATTATGCTGCTAACGACCACAACTAGCTAATGCTAGCCTAATGAATTATGCTCCATTGTCATTACTCGCTTTGTAAAGGTTTTAGTCTCCGATGATGAGGAAAAATTAGAGTTGTTAGGGTTCTGTCCAATGACAAAAGTGCAAGACTACTTAGCCTAACTTAAAGATTCTTATGCTAGTGCGACCTCTTTGACCAAGTGATCGATTGTAGCCGCCTGTTGTTTTTTTGGGTGCAAGCACAATTTTTTAACAAGTTACAGTATTTTTAATTTTGTAATCTTAACTATTCGAATCACGTAATACACCGAGGAAATTATCGAAGACTACCAATGCGGATTTAGACGGAATCGTTCGACTATTGAGCAAATATTTTCTTAACAGCAATTATTGGAGAAGAATTTGAGTTCAAGGTGTTGTTCACCTGCAGCATATCGATTCCAAAAAGGCTTACGATTCTATTGACCCCTGAAACTGTATAATATTCTAATCGAGCAGGGAATTCTACAAAAACTAGTAAATTTAGTGAAGATGTGCTTTACGGAAACAATAAAGTTAGAATCGGTATTAATTTGTCCGAAAATTTTGAGGTTCGTTCTGGTTTAAAACAGGGGGATTCACTTTCACCTGTCCTGTTCAATTTGGCATTAGAGCATGCTATTAGGGAGGTAATGCGTACCGAAAAAGGGTTGGATCTGAATGGTACAACATCCGTGCTGGGCTGTGCTGATGATCTGGTACTGTTAAGGGAAGACGTGGAAACTATAAAACTAAATACGACAAAGTTAATGAAAGCTGGTAAAGAACTAGAGCTCGAAACGCGGATAAAACAAAATATATGGTTAGCTGCAAAAATGATGATATCGATATAGAAGGTAATATGTTTGAACAGGTAGAGAAGTTTAAGTATCTAAGGTCTCTGATAACTAGAAAAAAAGAAATTGAAGAGGAGATTAAGGTTAGGCTGAAGGCGAGAAATGCTTCTTATTTTTCTGTGACAAAACTGCTTGGCTCGCGTATTTTGTCCAGGAATTTAAAGACTAGAATCTATAAAACTATTATCCTATCTAACCTACAGTTCTTTAAGGGCGCAAAACGTGGCCGCTTACGTTAAGGGATGAGCAACGTCTTAAGATATTTGAAAATAAAGTATTGCCTAGAATATTTGGACCGAAGAAAGGTGGGTTAACCGGATAGTTCAGAAGGTTGCACAACGCTGAATTGCGTGAACTGTATCCAGTTACTATAATTGAGGTGATTATATCGTGGCGAATCAAATGGGCTTGTAAAATTGTTGGGCTTTGTAACGAGAGAATTCCTTAAAGGTTAATATTTGCTGTACCGAATGGTAAACGTCCGAGGGGTAGACCAAAACGAAGGTGGGAAGATTGAAAGCCGATCTGAAGGGACTGGGTTTGGATGGCAAACGGTGGAGGGAGGTGTGTAATAAGAGATTGGTGGTGTCGGCATCGAACCTTCGGGTTCGCTAAGCCTTTTATTATTATTACATAGTTTTTTTTGGGTTACTGTGCCCAGAAAATCCTGACATTTATCGAAAATTAAATTCTAGCATGCGAAATAAAGGAGCCGACTTCCATACTTACCAACTTCCAAACGACAAATGCCCAAGGATTGTTGTTAAATATCTTCACCATGGAACACTAGTCGGTATCATTAAAGAAGAATTTAAAAAAATGGGTTTCGAAGCCACCAATGTAGTTAACGTCCTATCTCGATTCAATAAACTCCTTCCTATGTTCTTTGTGAACATTACAAAAGAGACATTTAGAGAAGAAATTTTTAGTACTAAATTACTATATTATTCACATATTGAAATTGAGGAACTGCGTCAAAAGAGAAATATTCCTCAGTTTGTTCGGTGCCGGCAATATGGGCACACTTAAACTTATTGCAACCATCGATCCGTAAAGTGCGGTGAATATCATGAAACCAGCTCATGTTTGAAAACCAGAGACACCCCCGCGAAATGCTCCAATTGTGGTAGTCAGCACCCCGCTAACTACAGAGGCGCAATGCGAGAAACCGCCTTCAGCGTTCCACAGTAGCAGGGCCAGCGCAGGGATCTACAGGCATGCATGAATTCTCTCCAATACGGCAACGTTACAACTAAAGGAAACCACAGATCATCGCCGGACCTCCGCAACAACAAAATCAAACATCATCTAGCTCAGCATCCCAGAACCAGAAAACATGTACAGGTACGAGGAGAGAAACTACCCAACCGATACCACTGGTAGATAATGGCTCTTTCCAATTAATATAACTAATGGATTCAATTACCTAATCCAGCCCCTTTTCATTCTTCTTCAACAACTGTCACAGGTTACACAGGCCTGGTGCCCACATTATGGCCCACAATAATTTAACTGTAGGCTCCTTGTCAATTATTCTATGGAATCCCTCTCGTATCCAATCCTTACAATCCAAAATTCTTCGTAAAATCCTCAATGCTCCTTACTTTGTCACAAATAAAATCATTCATAACGACCTTAACGTACCATATATTTAGCCCAATCCAGATACCTATCCTTTCTATAACAGATTCAAAACCATCCGAACCCTCTTGTTTCAAACCTTGCTTCCTCTTAGATACCTGATAACGCTCCAAGGCGTCTGAAAAGAAGATGGCCTCGAGATCTATAAATGTAAATATATTATTAGAGTGCTACCAATGTGTAGTTTTTCAACAAGCGTTTTCATGTGATTGTATTATTACCGTGTGCACATTTACTGGATGTATTTTTAAATTTATACAGTTATAAATCTCATGAATACATTTTAAATGATAAATAAATTTTTAAATATTATGGACAGGTTTTATTTTATAAATTTATTGAAGAAAATAAGTGCTTCTAATCTTGCATCGCTGCTTTATTGGCATTATTTTGTTCCTTGCACGTTAGGATCGATATTGGTAAACGAAGATTGTTTTGAATCTAATCAGAACATGTAACAAAAGCCTCTGTTGGGTCAGATTTTTATCAATTTGTGATGGTCTTTTCTCGTTTACATAAAAGACTGAACAGCATATGTATTTAATTAGGAGTTGTCATCATGATAAGGGATTATGGATAGCTCCGAAAGTTATCCATCGTTTTATACTTTTCTTATTGGCGCTTTCTTTATACATTTTTGTTTACTGTTCTTTGATTTCTTCTTTAAAGTAAGGATTTTGTGATGAATTGTTGATAATGTCATCTAACATTTTTTTTATAAGTTTAAAATTATTTTCAGAGCTGTTCCCACTATCCATATATTTACTTTCTGACAAACACTGGAATTCAAATTAATTCTTTACGTATTACATGGTTTACATCATTTTTCAATAGGCAAATTCAAAAATGGGGTACAGTGAGACCAAGAGTTCAGACAGCATGGTTTTCTGCAGGAATGTGGGTATCAGTTTTAATAATGCCTATATCAGTGTTTTTAGTGATCCATACTATATTTTCAATGATGAGAAGTTCCCTTCAAGATGAAAAATTTTTTCAACAAACCTTATTAGTTGTGGAACCGCTGGTAATGTGAAATTAATGTATTAATTCAATTATTAGATTTAATAAATTTTAAGAAGATTGGTGTATTTAAATTATATTACTTTGAGGCTCCTACTTATGTTTCTTTTTCATTTCATTTAAGAATCTACTCCTGTATAGATGAAACCAGTCATTACCGTTTTGATTTATGCTAATGTATACTTTATCGATGGTTTAAGTCCATTCAACTTAAATGCTAGCACCCCAACTACAAATTTTCCCTCTTCCCACCTCTAAGATACAGGGCCTGAAGCAGCACCACTGCTGTTCTATATCACCCTCCAGGCTTAACGTTCTTTAAGTTTTTCCTGTAGGAGATTCTCTACATGGTCGTCTAGAGTTTTTATATTTAATGTTAAGTAGCTCTTATGTTTAATGTGCTGTCTCTACAAAATTTAATATCGGCTATTAGCAATATATGATCGCTGCCAATTTGTTATCACTAATGTAGGCAAAATGCTGTCTTACGCCAAGATCATATATGGAGTAGTCATTAATGCTGTTTATTTCAAGGCTTGAGAAGGTTATTTTGTATATTCTTTTGTTGGGAAAGAAAGAGTTCTCCAGGAGTTATATCATTGCCTCTCAGAAATCAATAGAGAATTGTCCATTTCCATTCCTTACGCTCTCCCCTCCATGATGTCCAACGGTACTGGAAGCAACAGTTCTTGCATTAAAGTTTCCACTCCCTTAATACTTGATTTTATTCAGTAATCCTTAAAATCTGTATAAAAGGCTTCTTTACCCATGATTCCTGCATCCTCTGTTGGTGTAAATTTGCACTAAAGTAAATTTCACGACAGCCAATGAAAAATCTGTTACATTAATTAATTTGTAATGAGATTGGCTCCTTAAGAGAGTCTTGCATTTATAAGATTATCACTCTATAGCTTCAGTTCACCACTTCCTTTCTTCCTGGTGTTCAGTAATGCCAAAAATGTCCTTCTTTTAAATCTTCATTTCTTTAAGAAGCTTTACCTGTTTCCATATCAAAGTCTTAATATTCCACATCGTAAAACCTTATCAGTGCCAGGTCGTTTCTGTGCATATCCAAGACTAGTATGCTGACTTTGAATTGGGTGTAATACCATCATTTTTCAGATGCGACTGAAATTAGTGCTTTCAAATGGACTCTTCACCTTTATGTATTAATATTTATCAACCTATTAATCCCATTGGTGATTTATGTTATAAATGTTATGAAACATCTTGAATAATCTTCTATACCATAATATTAAAAGTAAATGATATATATGTAATATTTATATTAAATGACTTCACTTTTTATTTTGTGTCACTGCATGTTTTTAGGTACCTGGTTGGAATTTACCTGCCTCAGACTTTGGATACTATCTTTTAGCATTGTTTATCTCAAGTTTATTACACGAATTGGGTCATGCTATGGCTGCTGTGAGGTATGCTCATTTATAAGATACATCGAGTTGTGATCATATCAATTTTAGTAAATGTATTGTAAATATTTATTTCAGAGAAGATGTTCATTTGGTTGGATTTAGTTTAACAATATTCTTTGTTATTCCTGTTGTTTTGACTCATCTTGACCAAATAGATACCTTATCATCTGTAAGGCAATTACGAATTTATTGTGCTGGAGTATGGCATAACATATTTTTAGCACTAGTTACTGCAGTGGTTGCAACTGCTTTACCTTGGTTTCTTTTTCCATTTTATGATTTTGGAACTGGAGTTCAAATTGAAAATATTATAAAGGTAATTATTTTGGAATTAATTTACTTAAATAAGGAATTTTCATTATTTTTAACTTTCATAAGCTGTTTAAAATCTCAGGACTCTTCAATATCCGGCCGAGGGGGACTTATGGTTGGTGATAAAATCACCCAACTGAATGATTGTCCAGTACATGGTAGCACAAGTTGGCAGGAATGTCTTGTGTTAGCTCTTCATGATAGCAATAGAGGATTTTGTATCCCTGATAGCTTTATCAGAGAACATGATGAAAGTGTTCCAGGTAATATATATCATTGGTTGTTTCATGTTGAGACATTATGATGTTCTATAACTCATTAGGCACTATGAATGCAGTGTATTAATTTATGAAATTATTCTACCAAATTTAAATTTCAAACTTTTATTAATTTCTAATTTTAAAAAAAATCTAAATCTGTTTCTCAATACATTGACTGCCTAGTATAAGGGAACTCTAAGGCGACTATTGAAAATCACTCTAATTAATGATTAAACTTTTAAACTATACACAAAACCTTTTTCTCATCAGGCCTGTTGATATGATCAAATTATAAGGACAATGCTTAGTTTGAAATATGACACCTTTTTTACCACGGGCTCACGGACCATTATAAGAGCATGTACTAACCTGAAACGTCTCAGTTTTTTTATTTGGGTCCACCCCTTCAATATTGAGACTATACGAAGCTTTTCCTTGGTGGAAGGCAGGGATGTTTAAAACTCCCCCGGCAACAGAACGCGAACTTATAATTATTTTATCATGTAAACTTGAGTTTATAAGGTTGCCAGGAAACGTGTTTTACACAGCTTTAGTCCCCTCAGGTCCAGTCAATGAATTCTTTTATTTTTTTTTTTTAATCATTATTATGGAAGAGTATTTCCACTGAATTGGAAATATAGTGGTCCTAAAAATGTAATTGAAGGTTGCAGTAAGAAACACTAGAGCCTTCCTAGGCTGTTTACTGAAGCATCTCATTTATCAAGTCATGTGCTTGGGGAATTTTTCTTTGTAATTTTTTAATTTCACGTGCAACTTGTGAAGGTGTAAAAGGTGGTTAGTTGGCTTTTGATATCCAAGCATACAAACTGCCAGTTCTTCCATGGTTTCTTTGCATTTTTGCCACTGTTGATCTATGCTATCAGCCTGATATAGATCTTTAATTCTGACATTCATTCTGTCAGTGAAGAGTTGTCTAACCTCAAGATCCTTCAGTTTTTCAATCTTGATCTTAGGCGATCGTGCTCCAAGTTGATTTCTGATGTTTGAAATCCTTGCCCTAACCCTGGAGATTGTAAGATAGTGATCAGAATCAGTGTTGGCGCCTCTAAAAACTCTCACATCCATCAAACTAGTGATATGATGGCTACTTATTAACAGATGGTCTATTTGGTTACATGTGAATCCATCATTAGAGTGCCATGTTGCTAGATGGATTCTTTTGTAGAGGAACATAGTGCTTCAAACCACAAGTCATTTTGAGGCAGCAAAATTTATCATCCTCATTCCATTATCATTTGTGTGGTCATGGATGTAGACCTGTAGAGTTTTAAGGGAGAATAGTAGAGATTTAAGGGGAAGAAGTTATCAGCTCAAACTCTGCCCCTGACTAAGGTAGAGGGGCTGCCCCCTTTTGAGCTTCTTGACCTGCTCCCCCGTCCGGGGCGGCTACCTAGGGAAGATAACCCTCGGGTGTATACTGTTTGTGACCTTTGTCTGTGTAGTGTACTGGGTTTGTGTTAATATAATTGTTTCCCCAATTTGGAGGAGGACCAGTGGCTGATTGCGATACAATGACCGCCAATGGGGCCGCCGCTACCTCCTTACGCCAGTTTATAAACTTGTTAACTAAGCAAAACTGGTGATAATATCATCATAACATCTATTGTCTAATAATAACCGAGTTGTTACCTTTCTCTTGTCCTCACTGTGATCAAACATTACTCTGTTTTGTTGATTATTTCATTTAAATAATCATAAAATAAGTCATGAATCAATTAGTGCAAGCTAATTCTTCAAATTTGCCCACTGTTACTCATTCAATGACATAGGGATTTCTTAAAAATGATTATTCTATAATTAAATAAGGAAAGTTCAGGCTTACTGCATTGTACATTGAGAAAGAAAATTTTTTCTTTGTTTTCGGTCATCTTTCATTTTTACAGTTGTTAAAATTAAAAAATTTTAGTTTCGTTAAGACTAATTTATACACTGCCAGACAAAAATAAGGGACCACTTCAGTATTTTAATTTTACTGAAAATTTTTAAAATAATTCTTTTTGAGTATGATAGAATAGTTTATTAAAAGAGAAAATTATTTTTTTGGAATTTTTGTTCAATAAAAGAAAAATACAGATTAGTGAATAAAATCAGTACAAAACGTTTACCCCACTAGCCCTGACCATTGCTAGCATTCTCATATTCATTCCGCCGATCATGTTCCTTAACATCTTCTTCCAGGATATTAGCCCCCTTCTTCTGGTATACCATGCAGTCTCACCTAATAATCACTCTGGAACTAATATATAAATGTGAGCAAGAGTCTGCAAAATGTGCTCAAGTTGTCTCTTTAATCCCAACGGGTGATTAATGTTCACAGTTTGAGGATACAATTGATCAAGGATTACACTACATTCTGGTACCAAATAAATATCTATTGTTTTCATTATCAAAAAATTAAAAATTTAATTTTGTCCGGCAGTGTATATTGCTTTCATAACATATATTTTCATGAATAAATGTAAGTTAAGGCCTTGTTGGGATGAAGGAGGCGAGATAAAAACAAGATGAAAGAAAAATTTATAAATAACTTAATTAGTTAACTGGGTTCCAAGTATCACAAATATTGAATTCACGATCTTAAATTTCTAACCTTCCACACTTATCCCAGCTCAACAGTGTCCTTTACATGAACCAACATTTGATTGCAAAGCACAGTACTTTTCATGTTGCTGAAGGTATGTGGACATCCAGGTTTGACTGTTTAACCCTTTCAATCTGTTATAAATTTTGGGAAACACTGAATGAGTAAATAAATGCAAGAGAATGATTTGACCGCTTCTGTGTCCACTTGAATGTATAGACATAATTTATGTACGATCATTGATTATGAAGATCACTCGTTATTAAAGATTGCTCCTCTGTGCTCAAAGAGTTTAATTTGTCTTCTACAGAAACTTTCTCAGCAATGTTATGCTATGTAATTCCTGTTAAATTGATTTAACACTCACCACATTTAACACATGTATGATATTTATATAAAACTAATTATACTACTTTTCATACTATCATCATAATACAATTTTAATAGTAATTACTTATTTATATGATTTTCTACTTGGACCTGGTGGTAAGAAAATAGATGTGGTGGAAAAACAAACCAAAGAGATCTGAAGACTGTATTTATACATTCTAATACTTCACAAAAAAAAAAAATTTTATTTATTTATTTATATGATATTTACAACTGTATCCAAAAATACATCTAGTAAATTCGCACATGGATATAATGACATGAAACACATGTTGAGAAACTACCCATTGGTAGCACTCTAATAATATGTCTATATTAGGAGATCACGTGGCCATCTTCTTTTCAGACGCCTCGGAGGGTTATCAGGAATTGTATAGGAAGCAGTGTTAGAAACAAGAAAGTTGGGATGGTTATGAAGTTTATTGTGGAAGGACAGATATCTGGATTGGGCCAAATCTGATACATAAGGAACATTAAGGTCATTATGGATGATTTTATTTGTAACAAAGTAAGTAGCATTGAGGATTTTACGAAGGATTTTGGATTGTAAGGATTGGATGCGATAGGAATTTGAAGGTTTGGTGGAGCCCCATAGCTCAACTCCGTAAGTCCAAATAGGCTTTATTATATTCATGTAGATGAGTCTTTTGTAATTAATTGGAAGGTTAGAGCATTTGTCTAATAAGTGTTGAACGTCGAGCTGTTTCTTGTCGTTTCAGTCTGGTATGAGGATTCCAAGTTAGACGTTTATCCAGGTGGAATCCTAGGTAACGGATTTGTTCAACTAAGTAGGTTCAAATAAGTAGGTTGTTGTTGAAGGATACTGTAGGACAGGAAGTCATAGGTTTATGGCAAGGAGTATAGGTAATTTGCTGGGATTTATTTTCCTCCAATTTTGACACCATTTTTCAAGACTTGTGATATAAGATTGAAGAGTTTGGTATGCAATAAATGGATAGTTATTAACTGATAGGATACATATGTCATCGGCATAGGTGGTGATAACAGTGTTGGATTGGGGTGGGATATCAGCTGTATAACCTGTGTAAAGAATAGGATCTAGGATACTACCTTGAGGAACACCTGCAGACTGGGAAAAGCGGGATGTATAGACATTGTTGTGATTTACTTTAAAGTATCTATCAGTAAGGTAGGAACGGATAATGAGGAAGTATGTAGATGGTAGGAATTTTAGGAGTTTGTACAGCAGTCCCGGGTGCCAAACTCTATCAAACGCCTGTTCAACGTTGAGAAAGACTCCCGTACAGTACATTCCGCACTCCAATGCAGAGGATAATACGTCTACCACACGATGGCATTGCTGTGTAGTGGAATGGGAGGAGTGGAATCCATATGTCTTGAATTATTGCTTATATTATTAACAAATGTGTTATTATTTATACTCATTGTTATAGATGTAGTAAGGTTTTCTAGGGCTTTATCAATATCTTGTTTTGTCTTAAGGGGAATTTTTAAGTCCAGTTTATCTTCCAGATCATCACGAAATTTGTTCCAGTCTACTCGTCCTGTAATCAGTTTAGGATCAAATTTTGAACGTAGTAAAAGCAGAACTGGACTATGATCTGACGAAAGATCATCCAGGGATTTGATAATGGACTGGGAGGTGATAAATAGATCCAGGATATCGGGACGTTTTTTCAGAGATGTAGGCCAATATGTAGGATTCATGAGCGAGAGGATTGAATAACTGTTGGAAGAAGAGACACGTGATAGGATGCTACCACAGGAGTTGGATGTTCGACAACCCCATCATTCGTGTTTAGCATTGCAGTCTCCTCCAGCAATAAAGTGCGCTCCGTACAGTATACAACTGAAAGTGTTAGATGGAAAGGACGAGTTGAAAAGATTACAGAAGTTGCTTGAATGGCATCAGTTCGAGTAGAAGGGATAAGGGAATGAGATAAGGATTTATGTATAAGGATGCAAGAGCCAGCGTGGGGGGTTTGTTTGGATGGTCAAATCTATAAGTGATGAGTCACGTATGTAGAAATGTGTTCGTTGAGTGAAGTGAGTTTCTGTCAGGAGAGCAATGTCAATATAATTGTCATGGAGAAATATGTCTAGTTCGTCACGGTGGTTTTGTAGTCCATTAGCGTTCCATAAGAGGATAGCTAGGGGCTTTGTATTCATCAGAAGTTAAACGGGATTTCGGAAAGGAGTCTTGTGAGAAGAGTTATAAGCGGTTTGATAGTCTGTTTAAGATCTATCAGGAATAAAAAAAAATTAAATTATATTGAAGAGTATCCATGATTAAAAGGGAAAAGGAAAAACTTTTTAGGTTATAGTATCCCTATGAAAAGCCTTTTTACATAAATAATAATTTTGATCAAAACCTTTAACAATCTCAGTTGATATAAAAAAAAAAAGCTCGACTCAGATTCTCTTAACTTGAAATACATACCTACTTATATATCTGTAAACATTTTGGACTGTTTTTATTTTTAAATATAATTATAGAACATCACTATTTTTCATTTTATTCTGATTGTTTCCTGACCGTTAATCTCTTGAACTATGTTATAAACTGTATTTAAAAATCTGAGGGAAGTTAAACAAAAATTAAACATTTTTTTTTCTTTCATATATTTCTTTTCAGTTTGCTTGTGGATTATGTTTCTCTTGTATGTTTCAGCCAAACATCTTTCAGAGAGTGTTATTGAGTGCTGCAGTAACAATAGTCCTCATCACTTATGCTTTGAATATGTTGGAAGTGAGTCTGAACCTCTTCCGTTACCTCAGCATTCATGTTTATTCGCAAGAAAAGTTGTTGAGCTATCTTCATCTACATGCCTTTCTGCTTCTGATTGTCTTCCATCTCTTCATTGTTTTAGACCTTCACTTGAGAATTCTACTAAGCTAATAAGAATTTATAGGGCTAAAGGACCTGTTGTACTGTACCTAGGTGGCCCATCAGAAATTTATAACTCAGTCAAAACCTCCGATTTTATTAGCCTTTACTCATTTCTACCTTCATCTCTGCCAGATGCTCTCACTAAACTATGCCAATTCATTACAATTTTCTCATCTGGTATTGCTATTTTGAATATCATTCCCTGTTTTTACTTTGATGGACAACATATTATAAGAGCAACACTTGACATATTTTTATCCTCAAAAGTACCAGTGTCTTCTGTAAGACAAGCAATATCACTGTGTGTTACTATTTTAGGAACACTACTACTTATTTTTTACACAATCACAATGCTCTTTACCTCAGTGTGATCTGATGAAAGTGTAAATTTTTAACTAGTATGCATATTTATTTAGGATAATACTGTTCTTATTGTTAACATTGAATCCTCCAATAACTGAAAATTAAACTCTTTATTATCAAATGGTTTTATTTGTTAACTGCCTTTGTATTTTTCTTCAGTGTTTTATATCTAGATAATTTTAAAACGCTAATCAACTTAATCTAAAGATTTGAGGAAAAATCACATTAAAAATTTTTTTACTCGAATCGGCCAGCAAAGACCACACGAATATCATTTCTTGTTCTTCTTCACACCTTCCGCCCTCCTACTCCAATACTCCTTCAACCTCCTGGACTGTTCCTCTCGCTCTTAGTCAATTTTCTCCATCGTCTCGCCCTTCTCCCCTAAAAGTTTAGTATTGATTTGACCGCACCTCCTGACCAACTCCTTCTCATATATATTTCTTCATTGGATTTTCGCCTATATTCCTCTTGCGTTATTTTGGGTCCGTGAATCCTCCTCAGAATTTCCCTCTCAACCTTCAGGAATATCTCTAGGCTCGGAAGGCTAACTGTTTCCATACTATACAGTATCACTGGTGCAGGACTACTGTACTGTAGTGCCTTATTTTTGCATTAGAGGACAAATTTTTCTTACTGTAGATGTTTCACAAAAACACTTCTTTATGAATTGAAAAATCTAATTTTCTTTGTAAAAGTTCTAATTACTCAGTTCAGCGTAGCATCCATTAAATTTCAATATAAGTAGGTCAAACTCCAAATTATTGGTCTTTTGGAATGAAGCAAATCTTGGAATACTTATTCTGGACCTAATTTGCCTAATATTATTAGCAGGGTTGCAGTAAGCTGAGCCAAGGTCCAGGGCAAAATGATACAGCTCTCATGTTTTTATTTATAATATTATTTAATTTTTGTAGATACGACTTAACCTATTCTAACCAGAGTGAGGTCATGATTCATTCTGTGGGTCTGCCATGAAATAAATTTCAACCTTCCCAGGCCAGCTTCAAACTCGTGATAGCCCTATCTTGCCATTTCGGGCATATGGGGGGAGGGGATTTGTTCTAGAGATATACTCAAACCTATTCTAACCAGGAAGGAAAGTTCGAGGTTTATTCAGTGGGTCCACCACAAAATACATTGTAAGCTACTATGGCCCATTCGAACTGGTGTCGTTAAAGAAAATATCTATCTGTTTGCAATTATTTTAACTTACCCACAATAATTTTTTTAAACTGTTTGTAACTCCAGACCAGCAATATTATTCACTAGGCAATCCCATCATTCAAATTTAAGATAATATCTGGCCACATTTGTATTTAGTTTCCAACAGTGACGGTCACTGTAGTCGCTGTGAAATCACTGCGCCCCAACGGTGACAGTCACTGTTGGCGCTGTAAAATCACTGTACTCCAACAGTGATGATCACTGCTGGCACTGTCACTATAGATGCTGTGAAATCGCAGCTCTGATCACTCTTATTGCTCCAGCGATCTGGGCTCTGTTGACATAATTTATTTAATTAATGAATTAAAGGAATAATCATAAAATTCAAAAAATTTTATTATAAACACTTTTTGAACTTTGGATGAATTGAACATTTATTGCCATATATTTCTGAATGAGATGTCTGAAAAAATTAATGCAAAGTTTTTCATTCATCTTTTATTTATTGCTTGATTACCATTTATTTTATAACTAAATTATTTTTCAAAAACGTAAAATAAATTTCCCATTTAATTAAAGTTCCGAAAGAAGTTCAAAATCCATGAATAGTAAAAACATATAATAATATAAAATTATTACTATCGTTAACCTACCTTTCTATTATCCTCCCTCCCCTCCCCCCCACTATCTTCTAACAAATAATATTCCAAAAATCATGTAACTGTTGCAATATGAATGAAAAATGAATTTCAAGAACTGCTACAAAGAGTTTACAAAATTTAGTACTACAAGGGCATCACAAACTTTTTTAAGTTATAATTGCAGTGAGGAAACGCAAAAGGGTCTAAGTACCTTCAGCAAAATGTTTCAAAGTTTAATAATTTAAAAAAAATAAATGGCAATTAAAAATTAACTTTCCAGAGAATTATTGCTAATTTTTGGAATCAGGACAAATTACTTTAAGTCATATTTTTAAAGATATAAAGTGGATTTTTTTTTATTTGTTCAAAAGACCGTGTTGAGTCAAAGACTTCTTAACTACCCTTTATAACACACTCAACAACAAACTACTATTGTTAAGATGTTATGGATGTTAACCAGCCAGACTTTAATAGTCTCAAACATAATAATTTGCACATAATAATATGAAATATATGAAAATTACAAAAACAAAAATATTTTCCTAGAGATTTCATTGGACCTCCAAGATGCTTATAACAAAGTTAACATAATTAAGTTAAAAGAAATTCTGGTAAACATCAACCTCCCAGTTGTAATGACTAATTGGATCATTAATTACCTTACTCCAAGGGATCCTTTAAGTCCCATTCTATTTAATATTTATATATACTATATAGTCAAGTGTCCTCCTGATAAATATAAAATTTTACAATATGCTGACGATTTAATACTGTATACAACTTGCTCAAATATATCAGAAGAGCACTATACACTGGGAAAAGAATTCAATACATAAGAAGAAAAACTACACGCACTTAATGTTCAAATTAACATATCAAAAGGCAAAATCATTCCTTTCACAAAAAGAAGAAAATTAAACCTAACGCAATTAATTATCCATACAAATAGAGGTGTAATAGAAGTTACAAACACAATATAGTTCTCAGGTGTTTATCTTGACATGAAACTTTCTTTTAGAACACACATCCAAAACACTTACAACAAAGCAGCCAAAACATTAAACATTATAAAATCAATAACAGGGGTAAGTTGGGGAGCCCAAACACATAATGTAATTACCATTTACAAAACTATGGCCAGACCAATAATAAACTATGCATCCATAATATACAATGAGTCTAGCTCACCATTAATAAAAAATCTAGATACAACAAAACAATGCTCTTAAGTTATGTTTAGGATCATTTCGCACAAGAACTACAACTGCATTGCAAGCAGAAGAAGCCGGCGAGTCCCCTCTTCAAATGAGAAGAAATTGGTTAATAAAAAAATTCCTTTTAAAAGTGACCTCAAATAGTTCCCACCCGCTAAATCAACACCACCATGCCAAAAGTAGAAATCATAGTCCAAGAAACAAATCATCTATTTAACACACTTGCCATCAACCACAGACCACTCGACCTATGTACTCCCATTCCAAAATCACAAATTATCATAAAAACCAATCCCAAGCAATTCCTATCATATTTGTTCAAAATACACTATCCACTATCAGTTCTAAAACAGAAAACACTGGAAATATAATTTAATAATTATTTAAGTTTGATATAACTGAAGGATGGAACGGGCAGATGTCATAAAGCCCAACATGCCTCGATGTTCTGTTTAAAAAAAATATCTTTGTTTTCAACCAAAGCGGTGATACCAGACATTTTATATTACAACTGTTAGGAAACATTGAGAAGTTATTTACAGTATTTGCTTGTTACTTGAGCATTTGATTTAAATTAAAAAATTGAAGGGCTTAATGAGATTCTTCACAGTTTATAATAAATAACTTCAAATAAACTGATATATTAGAAATCAAACTAATTTACAAAGACAATATATATTAAAAAAAAGAAATATAAGAATAATTATATTAATGACAATAATATAAAATAAATGTGATATTAAGTGCTACTATATACATTGAAGATTTTGTGAAACTGTCACCTTGTAAACTGCAAATTTTGACGTAATTCTTTTAACGATCTTTCACCATACTTGAGAAGCGATTTGATTGCATACTGCAAAGTGAAATTTATTTTAATAAATGACAGTTATAATTACAGAAATAATGATGTAATTATATATTAATAATCATGCAAGAAAAATATGTATAATGTTTTCTAAATAAAAAAAGAATAAACCAAATTTAAGACAAGAAATTTATTGGAGCTCATTACCAGATGTTTTAATAGAGAATATCATAACTGGTTTATCAGAATCACCCAGAAATAACGGTTTTATGAGGAGTTAGGAACAAATGTGCCTTGTAAAATTTCAAAATAATAAAGTTTATCTGGATGTTCAGAGCCCACGGTGAAGAGATTAAAGAGTGAACATGATACTTATTAATACTATAAAACCTAGTAATGCTGCAATTACCTTAATTTTCACTATAACTGAAGTTCAGATTAGCTTCATGGGCCTACTACTTATGCTCATGAAGCAAAAAATTGTAATTTAAGAAAAAGTAATTTTTGGTCGGTCAAAAAAAAATGATGAACAATAAAAAGAAGGATGGGACATTTAGATGATCAGTCCCAGTAAATAAGTTAATTAATGGAAACATACGAAGATAAACCAATTAAGTGAACACAATTAAATTAACATGCTTCCAAAAATTGTTTTACAAGTTCATTTATGATAATTGGTCCAAACGCAGAAGCTACAAAAATACAATTATGCTCTGACATAATTTACAACTATTAAACTATTGTAGTTTAAAAAAAATTGCGTTGATTGAAATACCTGATCTTGGTGATATTTATTGGCTTTGAAATCTCTCCTCACCCACTCTCTCAGTTCTTTCTGATCTTCTAAAGAAGGAACTTCACGAATACATAAAAGTATATCTTTATACAATTTTAAAACTTGTTTCCTCAGGAAAAACTAAGCAGAGTTGGATAATAAAATTATAAAAAATTAGCAAATAGAATGTTTATACAAGTAATTTAAATTTACCTCCTTCAATGACATTACAGATTTACCATTAAAAGCCATAATTTGTTTTATTCACTATTTGTTTTGGTAAATATTGTTTATAATTCCTGATTAATAATTAATAAAAAACATTCTTAAAAATAGAGCCAGAGATTCATTCTGCAGACTTTGAAGTCCAAATGTAATCAATAAGGATTCATTCAAATTTCTATAAAACCAGTTTTTTATCCAACAAAGCTATGATATAAGTAGTTAGTGGATAATTGATGATTAGAAAATATAATGATGAGAAGTTAGTTGGGGTTTTCAGTCAATGAAAGAACAAAGTAAGCGTCCTTTCCTCCCCCCCCATTCTAAAAGCCTGAAGGCATCATCGAAATCATTACCGTAAAAATAAATATAAGGTATTTATTTTTACTTTTTATTGTACTTTCATTGACTGAAAACTCCAACCAACTTCACTTCAATTTGGTTTAACTAATTCAGTTGTAGAGGAACTAGTTACAAAACGACAACATAGTTGTGGTATAAAGTATTTGTAGTTTATTCGCAACTAAGTAGAATTATAGCAAGTAAACTATATAGTTAAAAATTTAAATAGATAAAGAATTAGTTAACTGATACCCAATTCCGACGTTTACTTATGAATATGTTTTAACATGAATATATAATTTAAATATGAATATTATATTTAATATTCATTAAATAGACTGGGAGGCTGGTTGATTCATGTGGAGTCGGCCCATTATTCATTGGCCAACTCCCCATGAATCATAAAAATCACACTTTTACGAAAACTCAACGAAATATCGGATGTATGATTGAATCAGGGCAACGACCTAGACATCGAAAACGGACATATAAAATCGGAAGCTGAAACGTACGTACTTTATATAGAGCTGCAGGTCTTTAAGAGCTTACTGATGTGTTGCAGAAGGCCTCTCTGCATATCTCGGCAACACAGGAGATGAGATGGATTGGAAAAGATGATATGAAAGGCAAGAATTTCATAACGCTATATAGTGGAAGCTAAAATAAGGATTCATTTGGAGTTACGTTATGTGGTCACGAATCGAATAAAATCCTCGATTTCCAACCAATTAACGAAAGGCTATACAAACTACGCATTTTGGATCTTGTCCGGAACATTGGGTTAATTTATGTGCCCCACAAAAGAGAAGGACAAAGAGGAGAAAGATATTTTGGGATGGCGGTCATAAATAGGCTAAATAGTGGTAAAATTATTTTTATTAGGCTTTTAATAAAATAGTTTTACCACTATTTAGCCTATTATGACCGCCACCCCGGACCATCTCCTTCCTTTATAATGCAACGGTCAACTATCAAATACTCTGAAAGATATTTTCTATGAACAACTGGAAAATGCATATAATACTTGTCCCAGTTACGATATGAAAATCATGTTGGGAAACTAATGCATAGATTGACAGGAGAGGGTTGATAAAAGGTAACACCAAGGTTTTTTACGGAAGTATGGAATGAGATAGGTGAGTTGTTCAGGCAAAGATTGGGGATTATCGGTAAGGATTTGTGGAGTGAGGGAGTTCTAATCAGGATGACTTTCGTCTTCTCGGAGTTTAAAGTAATTCTATTGTGGTTTGCCCAGGCACAAATTCCGTTTATATCTTCCTGTAATTTTTGGATGGCGTCAGAGGATTCGGTCGGATTGAAGGAGGGGGAAATCTGGACTTCGTCGACCTACAGATAGATGGTATTGACAGTATACGATAGAGGATGGAAGGTCAAGGTGTAAATGGAAAAAAGGATGGGAGATAAGCAGGAGCCTTGTGGGACACCTCTGGACAAGGGTAAAGATTCTGATGGGGGATTATTGGGGACTACAACATACTGGGAGTGGCCGGTAAGAAAGGATTGGAACCAATTAAGGCTACTTGTTGAAAAGGAGATATTTTAAAGCTTGGTTAGGAGAATTTTGTGGTCTACTGAGTCAAAGGCTTTGGAGAAGCCAAGGAGAATAGGCATGATGAGTTGCTGCTGGTCCATGGCTGTATGAAGGTCTTGGGAAATTTTTATGAGGGCAGATTGAGTAGAGTAGACAGGTCGGAAATCGGACTGGTTGGGATTTAGGAGGTTATTCTGTTCTAAAAAGTCGGATAACTGGGTTTGAACTATTCTCTCTAACGGTTTGGAAAGGTTTGAGAGGAGAGAAATTGGACGGAAATCATTAAGAGTTGATGGGTTGGAAGTCTTCTTCATAGGGCGAACTAATGCGGTTTTCCAGAATGTAGGGAAGGTAGGGTTTTGTAGTGAGTAATTGTAGATATGGTAGAGGATTGAAGGATGGATGGTAGTGAAGCTTTGGTCAGTCTGACTGAGATGTTATCAGGTTCATAATCATGGCAGGTGTAATATGGGGGAAAAAGAAGTGATCAGGATTAAAATTTACAGGGAAACACATAGGAGCCGGTATAGTCGCGGGAGATGAGGACGAGAAGGGACAGGAGACAAAGTGAGCGTTAAGGTCATTAGCAGAAAAGGAAATGATCTGGTTTTGAGGTGTGTTGCAATTGTTCGGTTTTTTGAGGATAGCCCATTTGGCTTTGGATTTTGGGGTGTTGGATAAGGAATAGCGGAAATAGCAGGATTTGGCTCGACGTATAGCAGACTGAGTGCTGTTTCGTAGCTGCTTGAAGGCGATATAGTCTTCCGGGAGTTGGGTACGTTTAAAAAACCGCACAGTGTAACGTCCAATGGACAAAAAACTGAATTTTTATTCTCTTATATTAAATCCTCTAGTTACGTTGAGAAACTATTCAAGGAATTAGAACCGTACAATACTAATAAATATTAGTTGTATCAACAAACAAGTTAGCAGTATTGTAAACAAGGCAAAGTCTTCAAAATCTTTAAAAAGGTTTGATTTGACTGCAGCTAATAGTAAACATTCAAAACTGTGCCAATACTTTTTTGATCCCCAAAATCTACTCTTTATTTTTATTTTGAACACAGTTTTTGAATTCTGACCATGCATTGCTTCTAAAATATAATAATCAGACTAGTTTGTTAAGTAAATATTATTTCTGGAAAATATCTTAATCCAATTGAGATTTACTGTAGATATCGAAGTTACTTCTCAGAGTCCTTACCTCTTTGTATAAAGTTGCTCTTGTTGATTAAAAGGTTTCATTGGTTTAAACACTGTTACATTAATTTATAATAATATTAAATTTTTAATTGTATCTAAAAATTATTCAAAAGGAACGAATATTAATAAATTAGCGTTTTAATTATTCAAAAGAAAATGACAGTGTATTTCAGTTTATAAATGTTGCAAGATTCAAGGCAATCAGTGTTACATAACATGCCTGGATTAGTTAGTTATTTAAGCTAGCTATGAAAAAAATAAAGATATCCTAATCCTATTTCGTCTTGAATTTATTTATGATTAATGTCTCATTATGAGTTGCAATCAAATATTTTTTCATTGCTCATTTTTCTCTAGAGGACTAGGAAAAAAAACCACATTGTTCAAAAGATTCTTTTCCTATACAAAATATGTAAGCATAAATCATATTTATTTAATGCTATTCTCATACCTATCCTAAGAATTTTCATATTCACAGGTGTCATCAGAAACTGCCAACAAAGCTGAACTTAATCCTAAAGAGTTACCTTATTTGACTGATGATCATGGACGTGTTCATACTTATTTACGCATATCACTGACAGAGAAGTGTAATCTCAGATGTAAGAAATGATACATGCTGTTAAATTTTATCAAAGATTAAAATTCTGTTTTGGATAAATGAAGCAATATGTTGCTGGGCTCAGTTGTTTATTTGCTGTTTAAATAAGTTAATCTATTAGCATATTTATCCATTAATTAGTCTACTTTATCAAAATAATTAAAATAACTAAGTAAATACTTTGAAATGTTTATAACATTTTAATTCTGAACTAAGAATATTTATTTTTGATATAACAGTATAAAGACTAGAAGCTTTCTTTTGAAATATATAGTTTTATAAGATTATGATAAGTTATAATATTAATTCAATATATTTTTGTTTGTTTTTTCTTCAATAATGTTCCACTTTGTCTTATGAGTTTTCTTTTGATGGCAGGCAATTATTGCATGCCAGCAGAAGGAGTGAAATTGACTAAAAAACCTGAATTGCTAACAACAAATGAAATATTGACTTTATCGGAATTGTTTGTAAAGCAAGGAGTTAATAAAATCAGACTCACTGGTGGGGAACCAACTGTACATAAAGATTTACTGCCTATTGTGGGTAAGATTATAATTGGATTAAATAAATAGAATAATATTTTATTAGAGTATGATTTTTGAATTAAAACTTATTGCTCCTTGTTAATTTTTGTATTGGGTTTCCTATATTCTTAAATTATTTATCAAAAATCCTTATTACTTTTTGTTATTTATTTACTTTCATTAAAGTTGTCTATAACTCAATTTTAGCTTACTGGAAAACTTTTTCATACTGTAAGTTGTGTCCTTTACGATCTTGTATTTATAAAAATAATTTCAAATAAATTTTTTAATTTATTTAGCATAGTAATTAAAGTAAATTGGATGAATTTTTAATTTAGTATAATTCAATAATTTATTTTACTTTTTAAAGTGCCTTTTATTTATTTATTTTTTAAAATTTATATATATATATATATATATATATATATATATATATATATTTATATATCTATACATCTAAGACCCTCCCCCTCTCTTGTGGTGTACCTCAAGGTTCCTCTCTCTTACTATGTTTGCTATTTACATCAATGCAGATGATTTCCAAATATACCCGTCCTTTCCGCCCTCCAAACCATTATCACAGAAAAACTTCAAGAAGACTTGAATAGAATTGGTGACTGGGCAAGAGCAAACAAGTTGAAGTTGAATGTGGATAAGACAAAGGCCATCTTAATAGGCTCCAATCATCTCCTTAAAACTGTTCCTAATATTCCAACTCTGTTCCTACACAATAATCCCACAAATTTTATACCATCATCAAAAATTGTGGAATAACCATTGATCAAACGCTTTGGTGGAAAAATCATATATCCAATATTTCCCGCTGTACCATTTCCACCCTAAAACGTCTAAATTATTCCCATCATCTATTTCCTTTTGAAACCCGTAGGCTCCTAGTCACTTTCTTAATTTTTCTCTACTTTGACTATTGCTGTATTGTATACGAGGGCCTCTTTGGGGATCTCGAGGTGAAACTAAAATGTTTGATATATTTCTTTGTACGATTCATCTTCAGGATCCCAAGGGGCGCCTCTGTTTCCCATTTTTATGTGGAGTTAAAGTGGCTTTATCTTTCCTACCGTCGTAAGTATTTCCTGGCATCCTTCCTCTTTCAAGTCATCCAATCCTACCGTCCCTTATACTTCTCCGAGCTCCTTCAATTCAAATCCTCTGTTCATTCCCGCACTTCTGATTTATACATAAGGGCTCACCGAACCGCTGCTTTCGACACATCGTTCATTATCCGATCCTCATTCCTATGAAACTCCATCCCTTCCCACATCCATCAATCCAATACCCTTTCTACCTTTAAATCCCGCCTGTTTAATCATTTCTTATCCATCCAGTCCCCATACTACTGTAAATATGTACATAAATTATTAGTTCATTCTTCATTATTTTTACTCCAATTTTTTTATTATTAACTGATCAAAATTAGAAAGTAACTTAAACCCTTATTTGCATTTAATGATCAAGTGGATTGGGAATGGAATAGATGCTTAAAGAGGAAAGATTCGAAAGAGGAGACTGACTTTGAGTGTCGAATATCGGAAGGAATAGAATTCAAGAGGGAGATAGCTTGAATTAAAAAGGATTTCTCAAATGCAGCAGTTCTGTGAGAAGGAAGATATGGTCAGACGTACAGGATCTGGTGGGCGGGACTGAATGGAGGATTTAAACTGTAGGCTCTGTAGAATATAGGAGGGTCGCTGAGATCTTATAACCTGGTATAGGAAGGTAGAAAAAAAGTACTTATGGCAGTGGGATGAATAGAGCTACTTTAATTTGGTGTAATTCTGGGTAACATGGGTATCTCTTGAGATCCTGAAAACAAAGCGTACTAAGCAATTCATTAGATATTTAAGTTTGGCTTCAAGTTCTCCCGAGAGTCTGCCATATGGCTCACAGCCATAGTCGAAATGGAGGAAAAAAGAGAGGAAACAAGGAGTTGAAGGGTTCTAAATGGAAGGAGGTAGCATAGACGATTGAACTGTTCCAGGATGGAAATATTACAATGGAGAATTCGAGAGATGTGTGGTTTCCAGGAAAGGGTTTGATCAAAGATAACATGAAGGTTTATAACGGTAGTAGAAGATTGAGCTATCAGGAGAAGATTCTGAGGTACAGTAATGGATTTGAGGAGTGAAGGGGATCCAATCAGGATGGCTTTTGTTTTCTCAGCATTAAAAGAGAGCTTGTTGAGATATGCCCAAGCTCATATCTATTGATGTCTTCCGGTAGTTTAAATATAGCATCAGAGGATTAAGCCTAATAGAAGGAAAGATGAATTTGAACGTCATCAGCATACAGTTGGTATTGACAGTGCAGGATAGAGGAAGGGAGGTCATTTATATTGATGGAAAAAAGGGTGGGAAATAAGGAAGAACTTTGTGGTCTACTAAGTCTAATGCTTTGGAAAAATCAAGGAGAACAAGGATGGTGAGTTTCTGTTGGTCTAGAGCTGTGTGAGCAAGAGCAGTTTTCTAGGTACTAGGGAAATTAAAACTTTGCAGTGAAAAGTTAAATATGATAAAGGATAAGGAGAATAGATGGAAGTGAGGATTTAATCAGTTTAACTGGGATGTTATCTGATCCGAAATGATTGGTGAGGAATTTACAAATAGATTTAAGGAAGCGTCAATATGGGAAAAGAAAAAAAATATTAGGATTAAAGGGAGGAGGGGATGGAGCTAGTGCTTGGAAAGAGGAATGTGAAGAACAGGAGACAAAATGGGTATTAAGTACGTCGGCTGAAATAGAGGTAGACTGGTTTTGGGTGGGTTTACCTAAGGACAATTTACAGAGGATTGCCCACTTGGCTTTGGGGTTTGAAGTGCTGGATAGGGATTGTTGGAAGTATTGAGATTTGGCTTGGTGTATCAAGGATTGTGTACTGTTTTGGAGGTGTCAGCCAAGTAGCTGGGAAATACTTGATTGTCCTAACTTTAAGAGGAGCATGGCGGTCCAGGATAGTGTTTAGATGATTAGTAGGGTTTCTACCATAAAATCAACAGAGTTTGAGGAGTATATGGAGTCCCACTGGATAGAATCAAGATCAGGCATCAGAATTTCGGGTGATAAGAAATTATAGTATCGGAAATATATAGGTTGGGGTGAAGACAGCAGAACAGGAAGGTTGTAGGATAACTGAATAAGATCATGAGTGGAAAAAAAAGGAACCGGATACTGTGAAGAAGTGAGGAGTTTATTAGAAGAATCAATAATACAGAGATCGAGCCAAGAATGGGAATACTGGGTGTGATGGGTAGGATTTTAAGGGACTGTATACAGATTAAGAGAGTAGATCAAAAAGTAACGTATATGAGGAGATGGATATTTCTGCAAAAAAGATATTCGATTTGTGGAGAAACGGAAAGGAGAGACAAATCGAGAGTTCTTGATTTCAGAATATCGTGGACATAAAGAGCTATTCTGCCACTGGTTCTATTTACTCTATCCTGACATAGTAGGGTATAGTTAAGGAGTGAAACTTGGGAGGATGGGGTCGTGGGTTTCAGAGACTGCAATTAGGTGGTAGAAGAAATCATGGAATTTATTTCATCTATGTGGGCTTAAAGTGACTGTGCGTTGACATGACAGGATAATAGAACATTAGTCATAGGGTATGGCAGATTGGGATAGTAAACCAGTAGGAATGAAGATAAGGAAGTAATTAGATTGGATTGATCAGAGATACACTGAAAATATTAAAACCGTGATATCAGAGCTAATGAAAAGTAGAGACTATACATAGTACCTAGCCCTGTCATAAATATTGTTACTAGGAAATATATACAGATTTCAACAGAAAAATTAATTCTTTCAAAAACTTTATTAGAAAATAAAATGTATGTCTATAGAGAGTAAAACAAAAAAGAAATTACTCAAAATGAACCCCTTTTGCCTTGACGTAGGCATTTAATCTCCATGGCCAGTCATCAATAGCAGCACGCAGCACTTCTTGAGGAAAGCGCTCAACTGCTCCGACCAGAGATAGTTCAAGGCTTTCCAAGTTAGGGTGTGCTCTGTGGCATGCCATTCTCTCCAGTTCAGATCAAAGTCGATAATCTAATGGGTTGAGATCAGTGCTTCCTGAGGGCCAATCCCAGGCAGAAATGAACTCTGGTCTGTTCTTTTGCAGCCACTGCTGAGTTGACCTGGCCTTGTGAGCTGGAGCGGAATCCTGCTGGAAAATCCAATGACTTCTAGCAAACAAAGTATCATTTAGAGGCTTGTCAATAGGTTCCAAAATATCTTCCTGATAGTTTTTAGCGGCTGTTTTAACTCCTTTTTCACAAAAATGGTGCTTTGTGGTGCCATCAAAACAAACTCCCTACCAAACCATCACTGAGTACGGGTGATAACCTCTTTCCACTCTTCCAATGACTTGATGAAAAAATTTCACCCCGACTGCCACAATATTCAGATCAAGTTCTAATTTTACACGGTTATAGATGACTCAATGTCCAATGTTATTTTGTGATAAACTCAGCAGAGTTTAAAGAAGTGGAGAAACTACAACTCCTTTTATTATTTGACCACACCCCCTGACCAACTCCTCATATTATATCACGGTCAACTATCACTACATCATTACAACTCTTTTTGATTATTTAAATCGACCACAATTTCCTCGCTTCATCATAAATGAAAATTAAACACTTAAAAAATTTTAATGGATTGGTGGTGGTCGGTTTAGTTGTGTGGCACCTAAACAAATAACCGAATAACAAAGTTTTTATTATGACTATTGCGAAACCTTGACTTTCATAAGCTCCTCCATAAAAATATTTCAAAACAATTTAAAAATCCATCATGCTTCCTTCTTATCCACGTTTAAAACCCTCCTATTCCAATTCCTATTCACAATACAATAAGAAACTGGCTAACCATTTACTAAATAACAGTGCTTTCTTCTCGTATTAATTATGACCTTGTAAATATATTTTGTATTTCTTTTCTTATCATGAAATTTCTATTCTTCATGGTGTATATGACAAGAACTCTATGAAAAGTTTGAAAGAGTTCTTTGAATTCTCTTAAAAGTCATTTTATTTATTTATTTTCTTGCTATTTTTGTTAGATATGATTTTTACCAAGTAAAATATATAAATCTTTAAGTCTCTTATTTGTGATATATGTTCCGCATATAGATGTTAATGTTTTTCTCTTCTCTGAACAGTTATATATGTATATATTTATTAATTTTTTGTTTGCTTTTCTTTCTTTATTTATTTTTTTGGCTAAGCAGCGATTATTTTATGGCATTTCTTTATTTGTTTTGTATATAGTTGTAAATACTTTGTATAGTTTCATTTGTTTTTGTTTATATATATATATTGTTAGTTTACTTAAGGTTGTTTTGTTTATTTAATGTAACAGATCTTATGGTCAGAAGTATTTTTTTTTCTGTACAATTCTGTTATTCTTAAGGGGCTGTGTCCCAGAATAAAGTTATTTTTCTATATTTTATTTATCTTCCAAAATTTTGTCCACAGGTCGGTACTTGTTAAATAGGGGGTAGGGTCAAACTGCTATTTGCCAATGTTTAAAACCTTAACACTGATAACTCTGATAAGCCACTGATAATATCTTCGTATTCATATTTATTGTATTATGTGGGCGGGGTAGCTGAATGGGCTAACGCATGTGTTCACCGCTGTTGCCCTGCAACCTGATATATCAATCAAATGATATAAAATAGTTACGAGTTCGTGTCCCGGTGCCGAGGGAGTCTTTTAAATCTCCACCTACTCTCTCTGGCCTGGGAAAACCCCGTATAGCCTTAACGGCGAGGAAGGGGAGGACCCAAAAAAAAAAATATATATATATATATTTATTGTATTACATTCATATTATTATATCTTCGTATTCATATTTATTATATTGTATTGATATTATTGAAATTGTTGAAAACAAAAACAAATGTAATAATAAAAAAATACTTTTATTTTACAAGATATTTATTAAATAGACCAAAACATTATACATATATAATTAAAAAACATTACAATAATAAATGAAAAAAATAAATGTATATATATATATATATATATATATATATACATACATATATATATATATATATATATATATATATATATATATATATATATATATATATATATATATATATATATATATATATATATATAAAATAATAAAAATAGCCAAAAAATAGCACCTGTTGGTTGCTGTGATCCGCTGGCTGATTTCGAGGGACATGCTTGAAGAGTTGACAAGAGTTCTCAGATACACGAAATTTGGAACCTTTTCGAAACAGAAATTTCCTATTGTGAGAGCTGGTGTGTTCACTTGGTTATTCTCACCGTTCACCAGCATATATTGGTTTTGGTCTCATTAATCTCTGACCAATATTCATAAATTAAGACCAATATTATTCAGCACTGCCAACTAAAGAGCCAAAAAGGCATCCTCCATAGCTTTCCTTGACCTCACCACTATGTCCTCATCATCCGTAAAGACCAATTGTTGTACTAAATGGTTAATAATGATTCCTGAGGTCTGTATTCCTGAATCTTGAACTGCCTTCTCCAGTGCCAGTATGAACAGCAGGCATGCCAATCCATCTCCTTGGCGTAGACCTTTCCCGGTCCAAAACTCCCTAGAGTGATCTCTTTGAACTTTGGCTGTGCTGCAGATTCCTTCCATGGTGATCTTTACCAGTCTGGCCAGCTTTTGTGAGATCCCCAGGTCAACCAGAGCTTCATATAGATTTGATCAGTTGACACTATCACATAAGCATTCTTCAAATCAAGGAATAAATGGTGGGTTGGCAATCTGTACTCTATTCCTTTCTCCATTATCATCCTTAAAAAGAACACTTGGTCAATAGTGGACCTTCCTTGTCTGATACTCTCCAATCATTCCCTTAGCATATAGAGATGATCTGTCGTATAAAATGACAGACAGGACTTTGTACGCACTAGGGAGGAGGAAAAATTCCATGATAATTTGAACATATTGTGTGGTCCCTTTTTTGTGAATTGTACTTATTGAACACCCTTCTTCCACTCCCCTGGCAGTTCCTCATCATTGCATATTGGCAGAATTAGATTATACAGCTCCTTATGCAGTTCTTCCCTGCCACACTTGAGGAGTACTGCATGTATGTCATCTGGTCCTGGGCACTTGTGATTTTTCATTCGGCCAACTGCCTCAATCACGTCTTCTGGATTTGGAGGAGCTTCAAGATCATCTTCTATTTTCTCTCTGGTAAGACTTCTTTTCTCTTGGGCTGTTGTACCATTTCCCTTATTTAGAAGCACTTCGAAATGGCACTCATCTTTCCAGGATCTCTTCTTTTTTGTTTAGAAGCATCCCATCTCCATCCTTGCAAGCTACACTTTTTGGTTTGGAAGGCTGATCTCTCTTGATTTACTCTCTGAAAGAATAGTCGGCTCTCGTACGAACTCCTCATTTCCTCAATCTTGAAATGAAATGAAAAATAATGTTATTCTGGGACTGAAATCATCTTAGAATAATAGCAGAGTTAAAAAATTATGTACATTAGTCTGGTATGTAGATATAATACAAATATATACAAAAAGTACTCAATCTTCTTCAGTTTCATCCTCTCTCAGGTCTTTTTCTTTCCTCGGTGCACTTTTTTCTTCTCCCTTCTACATCTTCTATATTCCTCTGTTGTCTGTCTGGTGTACCTTCTCTGTACCATTCTCCTATATGCTTAATTTTTTGTTCCTGAGAGACCCTCCGACATTTTATGTCGAACCATCCTTTTCTTGTCTCTCCCACTACATCTTTTGCTACTTTCTTAATTGCTCTCTTTAAGGCTAACCATTCATCATAAACGCTCGAATCTTCCTCCAACAACCGGTATGCCTGGCTTATCTCATCCCTGACCTGCTCCTGGTATCTCAGAGGCACCTCCGGAACCTTGAGTTTGTCATTGTCGATCCTTGCCTTAATCTTGGATATCACCAAGAAAAGGTCAGAGTCCATGTTAGCACCCCAGAATGTTCAGCTACTCATTAGATTAGACATTTGTCAGGAGGAGATTAAGATATGGTCTATTTGATTAAAAATATGCCCGTCAGGAGACCTCCAGGTTACTTTATGAATCGTCTTCCCAGAAAAAATGTGCTTCCAATGGTCAGGTTCTGCGAGGCAGCAAAATGTATGAGTCAACCATTTTCATTGCTATCGTCATGAACACTAAATTCTCCAATTTTCCTATAGTGGAATGGAATATCTCTTTACAGCCAATCTTAGCAGGAAAGTCAAGTCCTCATTAGTATTTTAATATCGCTCAACTTAGAGTATATCTATAAAATATGACATGGAATAGTAGATTTAAATCAAGCATATTTCTTTTCTTAAAAACTTTAATTGCATATGTCATATCTTATAATGGAATAACCATTTTCAACATTATGGTAAATATTAAACCAGTGAGTTATCTGTAATTCTAAAATAACTGACAAATAATTTAGTGTTACTTAATATATATATATATATATATAAAAAAAGATATTTTCCTATATATATATACCTTTCACAACCTGTTTCAGTCATTAGACCTACAGGCTTATTTGCTATGGTCCTCCTCTCTTCCTATCAATTAAGGTTAAGTGATATATAGATATACAGGAAGACGTATTTTGTTTTTTAATTGATCTATGATTTCTTCAATTAATGTTACAAATTCTTATAACATTGAGCCTCAGATCAAGAATTTAGATATAGTTACCTAAATTCAATTTTACCATAATGGATTATGCTAATCTTTATTCTATTAGAAGATATGAAATTCAATGTTCATAAACAAAAAAAGAAATATTTGATAAATAGATAATTAATCTATGCTGGCGAGTAATGTATTTTCATTCTATACATGCCTGGAAATTGTGAAAATAGAAATGTTCCAGTTCGGCTTTATGTCCAAAATGTCATAAACGATAAATATACATACTGTGAAGCATTAAAAGCCCTAAATATTTTTATATTAATTCCCTTTGAGTAAATTTTCAAAGAAATAATATCTAAATATTTTGTAGAATCTTTAAAGAATATAAATGGTCTTGAGCAAGTTGCTATTACTACAAATGGCCTCACTTTAACTAAACAATTGGTGAATTTACAAAGAGCGGGTTTAGATGTTTTAAATATCAGTTTAGACACTCTAAAATCTGACAAATACGAGAAGATTACTAGAAGAAAAGGCTGGGCTAGAGTTATCGCTGGTATTGACTTGGCAATTCAGCTTGGTTACAATCCAGTAAAGGTAAGTTGAGCCATTTATGTCACAGAGTAAATATTAATTTATTATATATTTCACATATAAATAATTTGCTCACAGATAAATGTAGTAGCAATGAGAGGATTTAATGATGATGAAGTCCTAGATTTTGTTGAGTTCACAAAAGATAGAAGTGTTGATGTCAGGTTCATAGAATATATGCCATTTACTGGAAACAAGTGGGAAACAGAAAAAATGATTCCTTTTTCTGAAATGAAATCTATCATACTGGCTAAGTATCCAGACTTCAGAGCATTACCAAATAAGCCTAATGATACTTCAAAGGTAATTTTGATTACATTTATTGTGTTTTTAAAATACATAATGATTATTGAAGAATGAATTATTCTCATTATGTTAACTCAAAGCTTAAGAATTAATTATTATTAATCTTGTTATTGAACCGGAAGAAAACTTTGGACCCAGAAAGTTTGTAAAAACTATGATACTTATTAATTTTCTGATTTAAGAATATTAAGAATTTAAACTGAAATCCTTTTGTACAGAAAACAAGTACTTTTCTCTCAATTCCCTTTTATATAAGTTTTCTTGATTTCATTATTAATATTGGTGTTTTTTCTTATTATATATTTTTTATTAATAAAATATAAATAAGAAAAAATAATGAATTTTATTATATATACACATATCTGCAATATTTAATTTTTAAAATTTTACTAGACCACATCGCCTCATTCTATAACTTACTGCTGTAAAAATAAGAAGAATTTTCATGGGTCATAGTGGTTCAGGTTTTTATTTTTATAATATTGTATTAAAAAAGGTGTTAGTTGTATCTTAAGAAGTAATGTACAAAAAAATTGACAACTGTGTTCTAAGATGTTTACTTTTATTGAAAAAAAATATGCTGTTTTTTTACTATTATATTTGTATATACTCTATATCAAAATTTGACAGGCTTATCATATACCTGGTTACAAAGGGCAGTTGGGGTTTATTACATCAATGAGTGAACATTTTTGTGGTTCATGTAACAGAATTCGTTTAATGGCTGATGGGAGTCTTAAAGTTTGTTTATTTGGAAATTCAGAAATATCATTGAGGTAAGGAAAAATGTTCCATTTTTTTTCTTTTTTATCTATTTTCACTATACTTTATGACAAAACTCATTTGATATGATTTTACGATATAAAAGAGATGCCTTGAGGAATGGTTGTAGTGAGGAAGATCTTTTACTGATGATTGGAGCTGCAATCAAAAGAAAGAAGAAACAACATGCTGGTAAATGAATTATGTTTTATTTGGTGATAATTTTTCATTTACTTTTTTATTATATTTTATATTCTAATTTATTTTAACTTTGAAGTAAATGGAAAGTTTTTTTTATTAATTATATTTTAGAAGATAATGTGTATACTTGTTGTAGCTTTCAGGGTAAAAGTACCGTATATATCTCCTGATATGAGCAAAAACTTATTATTTCAAATAAATGTTTTGATAAAGGTTAGCCTTCAATCTCACTACTAATTGATGTAAAATCCACTGTATTTCAGTAAATTAATTTTTTTAATTTTATCAATTTTTTAAAAATCTGTTTGTGAACTTTTATTCTGGTGTAAAGAATGAAAGTGGAACACAAATATTTATGTTTTGAACTGTATAAATTGTGCAGTGCTAGGAAAACCTCATGAACATCAGCTTAGTATCGAATCAATTTTAAAATTTTTTTAAACAGACTAATGGTGTGAAAACTTAGAAATATGAGGTGGATACAAATAATAATAAAGAATAAATCTCTTGATTTGGAAAAATTTAGGACTGGATTTATCACTATCCCTGGCTTATAATATTCCAGGTTGGGTATACCAAAAAAAGAGTTTAAATAACAAAGAAAATGTCTATGATCAGTAAACAAAAATCTTCATTAAATTTTCTATTATAAAGAAGTACCTAATTATCAAGTGTTTTCTAGAAAAACATTGCAGCACTGGTCTCAATAGGGGATGACCCAAATTCTTGGGCCTAGGGGTGTCCAAACTTTAAATTCAGCACTGGAATAAGCTTATCAACTAAATACAGATGCAAGAGTTTAAGTTGATCTTGAGTCAATGGAACATCCATCCAGTCCTTAATTTGTGAAATCTAATGGACTTGCTAAACAGTAGTTTAAGAAGCCAAACACTTACTGAAAAATGCATAAATGATGTCTCTGATATATATCTAGTTCTGGTTAACAATAGTAATACCCCTAAAGTCAACATTGGCTCTCCTGTTTAAATATTAATGATATGAACAAATAAATATCTGTTATCATGCCTCCCTCAGGGACTCAATGCCAAAGTAGTTAGCACAATAGAAGTTTTCAAAGTGCTGAAAAAATGGCAGTTACAACACAAGACTACTGGTGAATAAAGCAAAACACTAAAACATTGTTTTAATTATTGGACTAATTAATTAATAATTAATAATATTGGCCATAAGCATATTCTGAAGACCCTAGAAGCTGAGTGTGTTTCATCTGATCTTAGAAAAGGTATAGAAAGCCTATTATGTCACAACACCATAAGAGTCAGTCGGAGTTAACAAGACTCGTAGTATCAGTATCTTGAGAGGAGTACCACAGAGTGGACCATTTTCTCTAGCAATCTTCAATGTGAGTATAGATTCTCTATACACGGAACTATGCGATCCAAAAGTTACGAAGGAATATGGTTACAAGTTGTTCCGTAACCTTGATTCCAGTCTGCTAACAAGCTTCGCTGATGATCAAGGGGTTACAGCTCACAATGTTGAAGCTGCGGAGAGGGCAATAAATATCATTGGAAAGATGCTTCTTGAGTTGGTACTTCTTCATAAACCCCCAAAAAAGTTATGGAATCATCTTAGAGAAGGGAAACTTAGTAAAATCAAGGTTTCAATTAGATGCCGGAGAGATAATCAGCTCCATTGAAGAAGGTGACTAGGGTTCTCTGGTGAACTAGAGTTTGATGATGGTTCTCTGACAAAAGTAACCAGAAATATGGAAAAATTGGTTAGTTCAAATCTTCTTAAGCCAGAACAGAGAATTAATATTATAAACGGTTATGTTTTTCCATCATTAATATACCCACTACAGGCGCCATTGGCGAAATTGTCCCTATCGCTATTGAAGTCTATAGATATCATATTACGGAGGATGATGTTAGGTTTACCAGTCAGCACCAGTAATATGGAAACATCTATGACAACTAGAAAAGTAAGACAATTCCTGAGGAAAAAGTAAGTCCTTTGAAGACTAGAGCAAGTGCAAGTGGCAGGGAATTGATGTGTTCCATTTTAAAGCAAACTCATGGGCCAATAAATTTATTTACGAGAGAAAGGTGCTCACCCCGCTCAGAAAGGATGAACGCCATGAAGTTGAATGTTAACTACACTCTCCGCGGAGTTAACAAGACTAGTAGTATCTGTATCTTGAGAGGGGTACCACAGAGTGGACCATTTTATCTAGCAATCTTCAATGTGAGTGTAGATTCCCTATACACGGAACTGTACGATCCAAAAGTTGCTAAGGAATATGGTTACAAGTTGTTCCGTAACCATGATTCCGGTCTGCTAACAAGCTTCGCTGATGATAAAGGGGTTACAGTTCGCAATGTTGAAGCTGCGGAAAGGGCAATAAATATCATTGGAAAGATGCTTCTTGAGTTGGTACTTCTCCATAAACCCTCAAAAAATTTTCACGACTCACTTATTGGACATCCTAATCCCCTTGTACAGACATTATTAACAGACACACTACCACAGAATCCAACAAGAAGACTCAAACGCCTCTGAAGCAGAGATCTGCTGCATCAAGAAAAGTCACATTAGGAGTGCCTTCGCTGGGAGGTTTTTTCAATCAAGCATTCATCCTAATCCTGCAGAGGAAGTTGATGAATGGAGATCGCATTTACAATATATGCCAAAGGCATTTGTAAAGTTTTTCAATAAAGAAATTATTATTATTTATTCTTTATCACTTTAAAAAGGGTATTTTGTTGGAATGGAGAAAAATTAACTTCAACTACGTCACATCAATTTTCGTAGTTCTATTGGATATTTAGAAAACTCCTTACGATTCGCAATGTGTTCAATAGCACAGCTTTCTGGGCTTCATTAATCGTAGCTGTTGAGATGCCCAACTTCTTGGTAGCTTTTACAGTGGATTTTGGAATCAGGCCATTGCTAGAGATCGCTAAAGCCCTTACTGTCACTTTGTTCAGTCTGTACAAATATTTTAACTCGTCTGCAAAAGTTTGATATTTCCGAATTTTTCGGCGCAGACTGAGTTGATGTTCCCATCATTTGGTACACCGATATCTATTATCTCAACTGTCTTCATAATACTGTTGACCAACACGATATCAGGTTTTTTGGGCGCAGACTGAGTTGGTGTTCCCATCATTTGGTACAGCGATATCTATTATCTCAGCTGTCTTCATATTGTAAATTATTATTATTATTATCCCCATTCATATCCCCACATATATTATTACAGTAAGGCTCTAAATCGGTTTTGTACCAAATAAAAGCTCCTGTCATGCTCAAATACCATGAATGGGGTACCGTTGCATTCAGAATTTCACGGGGGATTAGCGAATCGTATTCTACACTTTGGTTTTTCTTTCTAAAATAAATAAAGCTGATACAAAAATTTTGCTAGGCTTCAATACTGAAACGGTGGTAGATCTGTTGTTCAATGCGGGACAAATTGGACCTTGAAGATTTTGATGCGTACAGCAAGACTCGGATAGTTCCTCCGGAACTATCAGATTCTGCATTTTTAAGCCCAAAAACGTACTATTTTCGAGATAACGTAAGGCATAGGGTTCGCATCCACACAACCTTACGTTAATTTTAGTACTCTCATTGAATACATGTCTCATTTCGTCGACTTGAGGTCTCTGACCGAGACAGGAGGAGTTTATATTATTTATTGATGGTGTTTTTGATTGGCAAGCCATATCATCGTTAATTCTTCACCAGATCTCAAGATTAAGCCACCAATTTCGAAGGTTTCCTTCTTCTTCAGGTGGGAAATAGTCCAATTACCCCGAAAATTCGCGGTTATTAATCAATTACCTCGCGCGGGCTCATTACCGCGTATGGGGAGCGTCCCACGGGTGGCGGATGTGGGGATGGTCGGTGGAAATTCCTTGGAAGTTCCTCCCGGCTAAGTCCGATGGACTCGCTGACCAACAATGAGAGGGGCCCTCCAGACTTGCTGGAGGGAGGGGACCTCCAGACTTGCTGGAGGTAGGGGCCCACCAGACTTGCTGGAGGGTGTGACGTAGGATTGAACGCCCTACTCACATATCTTTAGTTCACCAAACACCACAAAAAGTCATGGATCTCCCTAAGGTAAAACGCTCATTATCCGGAGGTAAACTAGTCCCCCGTTCGGGTCTCCGGGTGGGGACTGCTTTAGGGGATTCATGGTGCAAGTTGAAATATAGGGATTTAAATATTGGTACGTGGAACGTAAGGAGTTTAAACACAGCAGGGGGGCTAAAATCGGTCGCGAATGAGGTGAATGGGTACAATTTGGATGTCGTGGCTCTGCAAGAAGTTCGCTGGCCAGGGGAGGGCTCGATGAGGGAAGGAAAGTACACTATTTGGTACGGAGGAAGCGGGAATCATTGTTTGGGTACCGGGTTTCTAATTAGGAGTAGATTACTATCCGCTTTGAGGGACGTACAATTCTTTAGTGATAGAATTTCGGTAGCTACATTTCAGGGGCGTTGGTTTAAAATCGCATTAATAAACATACATTGTCCGACCGAAGACAGTGACGATGAAGTCAAAAGTGAATTTTATGATAAACTCGAATGGGTTTATGATAAACTACCGCGAAACTACATGAAAATGATTGTAGGTGACGCGAACGCAAAGGTAGGAAGGGAAGAAGTTTATATTCCGACGATTGGTAAAGAAAGTTTGCACGAATATAGTAATGATAATGGGATCCGTCTGATAAACTTTGCCATCTCGAAAAACCTGATAATTAAAAGTACGACGTTTAAACATAAGGATATTCATAAATATACTTGGACATCACCGGATTCGCAAACACGAAATCAAATCGATCATGTCTTGATACAACACAGCTGGCAAAGCAGTATAATCAATGTACGGTCTTATCGCGGAGCAGAATGTGGGTCGGATCATGAATTAGTAATCGCGAAACTTCGACAAAAACTTAATATAAAAAAGAGAAAAGAAAACCGTTTCGATTTTGAGAATTTTAATTTGGAAAAATTAAA